CACGGAACCGCGAACTCATCATTGTCGGATCATTACAAGTATAATCACAAAGACAATACAAGAAATAGAGAGACACAAGTACTCTCGGGGTAAAATCACCAAGCATACCGAGTCCATAAAGGACTTAACTCTACCATAGGGTCCTCGAGTTCAAAACCGAAACCATCACAATGCTATTAACAAACACAAGATATGTTAATAGCCCACACAAGCAAGCATCCGGGAGAAGTTGGGGATCCCAACTAATCCAACAACCACACATAACAAGTACAAAGAAAATACAAGAAATAATATTATTTCTACAATTAACAAAGATGGAACTCACATAGTGAATCAGTATCACATTTTCAAGACACAAAGAAAATAGCATACCAAATATCACAAAGAATTTAATTAAAAGAGAATTAAGCACATTTAAAGCAAACTTGGAGGAAATATAGTCAAACACTTTGCACTTATCATTTCTCTCATGCTCCCTAATGTTTCTATCTCTAATAACATGGCAATCACGCAACTCAATCATATTGTACACAACATTCATATCATGCTCCACCTTAATATAAATATTACTTTCTTTATTTTCACCATGAAAATCATTTTCATTCACAAATTTGAGCTCGGTTTCAAGTAAATTAGAATGAACTTCAATAGGCAAATGCTCCACCTCATTTGGAGCAACATCAGGAGAAACAACCAAGCAAGGAAATTCATTTTTAGCAAAAATGACATATCTACTCATCAACACATTGAAGCAAGTTTCACTCCTACACCAAAGCCTATAACCTTTCATGCATTTATGATATCCTAAGAAAACATATTCCTTAGTCCTAGGTTCAGATTTATTATTCTCACGATTCACATAAGCCGCACAACGAAACACTTTCAAATTTGGCAAGTTAAGTGGTTCGCCCGTGAACAGATTCAGGGCATTCCCTCCTAAGGGAATAGACGGAGACAGATTAACCAAATCAGTAACATAACAAATAGCTTCCCCCCAGAACTTATTAGAGTGCCCAGATGAAGCTAACATAGCCCTCACTCTCTTTAATAAAGTTCTAACCATCCTCTCAGCAACCCCATCCGGTTGGGGTGTGGAGGGAACATGTATGCATAGAAATACCCCAAGTATCACATAAATCACCAAGCTGATCATCACAAAAACAAAACTGATAGTGGTCCTTAAAATATTTATTTTCTTACCGGTTTGTTTTTCAACAAGGGTTTTCCAGTTTTTAAACTTATCAAAAACTTCAGATTTATTCTCAATCAACAAAACCCACACTTTCTTTGAAAAATCATCAATCAACGAAAGAAAATAATTTTTCCCACCAATAGTGGAAACACTATAAGGCCCCAACAAGTCAGCATGAATACAATCAGTACACTTAGGCAGATCAGGAAAACCAACTCTAGACTATTTTCCTAGCACACAGGGTTGCACACAATTCACAGAATCAAGTACAGGTTCAACATGACACATACAAGTTGTTTTTCATCTCAGCCTTAAAAACAACTAAGCAACCCTTCACAACTTTCATGATTCCCTTTCCCCATTTTACCTTCAAACCCTCATTTTCAAGAGAAGCACAAGATAGCAAATTACAGCACAGCTCAGGAACATGCCTAACATTCTTCAAAGTAATCACATAACAAGAAGAGAACCCAAGACATACATCTCCTATTCCTAGCACATTGCATTTCTTCTCATTTGCTAAAGACACAAAGCCATGCTCAATCTCTCTATAGTTTGAAAAAACATTTTTCAAAGGGGACATGTGAAAACTACAACCAGAATCTACCACCCAGTCTGATTCACCCAAAGAATCAGATATCACAGAACTCAAATAGTCATAATCATTCAGATTACTCATCATAAAAACGTCACCTAAATCATCTTCACACATAGTCAAATTAGCATGCTCACTATGCTCATTTTTCCTAGATTTATGACAGTCTTTTATGAAATGACCAGGTTCAAGACAATAATAGCAACGCCTCAAATTAGACCTAGACTTAGATCTATGTCGTCTACTATTATTTTCTTTACCCCTCACATGCATAACTTTCTCAGATTTTCTACCCTCACCCATCTATTTTAAATCTAATTCCTTACTCTTAAGACCATTTACCACAATGTCATGAGTCACATTATCTTTTTTTTTATCCCAGAAGGTCAACCACCAAAATCAGTGGGGTAAATGCCGGGGGTCATTTACCAGAGTTTTATTAATAATTTAGGAATACAAATGGGGGGACCAAACCTTACCCGAAGCAAAAACTCAAAAATTAGTCTCTAACAGAAGGAATGCCATAAAAATCTAACCAAAAATAGCGTTTAGCAAATAAAGGAATCAAGAATAGCATTTAAAAGAGCAATAGAGGAATAATCATCTATATGCTTATCACCACACAACTTAATATCAGAAATAAGTTTGGTAAAGACATCTAGATTTTCCTCAATATCCCTAGACATATCCAGTCTAAATTTGAAGAACTTTTCAAGTAAAAACATCCGATTAGGCAAAGAGGTTTCAGTATACAGTTCATTCAATTTATCCCACAAAATTTTAGCACTCTCTAAAATTCCAACTTTTCTAATCACAGAGTCAGATAAGTTCAAATAAATCACAGAACATACATTTTCATTCATTTCAGCCTTTTTATCTTCTGTGTCAGAAATCAAATAAGTTTCGCCAACCGCTTTAAAACATTTTTGTTGTATTAAAATACATTTAATTTTTTGCTTCGAAATGCTAAAATCAGATTTTTCATTAAATGGAGCCATACCATACTGATTATAAGCATACATTTTCACATAGAAAAACAAGCAACAAAATAAAATGTAAATTTCGCTGAAAAACAATCTAAATATTTATAAGGCTACAAATATGCGAAGCAACTAGCACGAACACGCAGGGAGTATTTATGAGCACCAAACTCAACTTCAAACCCCTTGTTCTTCCATATAAGCACAAATAAATAATAAATTTTTAGCACAAAACAACACAACAGTTCTATCAATTTTAACAGCAGTAATAAACCTAAAATATAATTTCTACACAATAAAAAGCTAAAAATCACTACAAAAGCGATAAAAAAGGTTTAAAGTCAATATACCGGAGCGAAACCCTAGGAGAAGCATTTCGACCTTACCCACCTAATTTAAAAATTGGGATTTTCTGGAAGGTTATCTGGAGTGGACTGCCCGTTGACCAGCGTTGACCAACCCTATGTCCAAGCAGTCCAGTTCAAATCCAGCCCAGGTTTCTGCTCCAGTGTACACCCCAAGTCCAGCCCAAGTTAGGTAGAAAGCTCCTTCATCCCCTTGCTATCTTTCTACGTACAGGTTCAATTCAGCCCAACAAATGAGCAACCCATAGTCAGTAGTCAAGCAGCCCAATCCTTCTGCATCGGTTCCAGCGCACTTGCTTTCTTTCTACGCGAGTAAAATGAACGGTAATCCTCTGTTGTGAAAAATCCCTTCTGCGGCCAACGAACGAGCTCTGTCTGGGAGTCCACGAACAAGTCCTCTGCCCCAAGCCCTGAGTCCAGCGAGATGAGATCTCATGCGTCAAGTCCTTCGTCCAGCTTCAGAACCTGCTCAATTGGAGGATCCTTCGCCTTGCTTCCAGATCCGGCCTCGATGGTGAGCGATAAGCAGCAACCACCGAGCAGACTCCGGCTACGAACCAGCGGTGAACGAAGACCGACAAACCTCCTCTGCAAGTAATCAGCGACCAGCACCTCGGACGGCGGCGAACGGCGGCGAAGACGTGCCAGATGGTGGAACCCGACGAAATCGACGGCGACAACAACCCCAGGCTCTGATACCACTGTTGAGGATCGATTCCGTCACCGGATTCTGGCTCAGGCAGTCTGGACGTCGGTTTTCCGGTTGTCTCTTGTGCACACCTAGGCTAAGGGAGCAACACACCTTTCTAGCCTCGCCAACACCTCACTTCTACTCACTATCCAGTTCTCACACAAAGGAAACTCAAGGAGGAAGAAGTCAAGAAGACTAGTCTGGGTGAAGTATCTCACGTACGCTCCACACGCTACAACAAGGGTGCAGGGGTTGTCCTTATAGCATGGGATTTTTGGTTCTATTAGAAGGACACTCAAATAATACACTGCACACACAACTCATCACTAGGCAATAATGAGTTCAATTTGAATACTAACGGGAGAGGAAATTACAGGGGCAGAGCCAGGACACTGGGTCAGACTGCGCCGGTACAAATAATATTTTTGGAAAAAAATTTACTCGGAATTTTTTACCCTAAAAATTTAGACATTTTTTAAAATTTGGGTTGGGCCATGACCAGGGTTGGCCACCCCCTATCTACGCCCCCGGGAAAATACCGATATGCCAGACAGAGATAAATGGGTACAGTGTAGTGGGCTGCTAGAAGGTGTGTTGACCATTATTAATATACTAAAAAACGATTATGCCAACAATATATTAACATTCTCGAAACATCAGAGTTCAGACATGAGTTGTGGTGCCTGTTGGGTGTTGGATATGAGTGAAGCTACAAGTACATTCCCAAAACACTGAGATGGCGTTAATATGAATTAAAATTAAGAGACGTTAATGGGAATTAAAACTAAGACACCGTTATAATAAGGGTACATTTGGAATTATGTCGAATACAAAGGTGTGCGGCTGTAACTAGCAAACACGCGGTTGTATTTAGAATCCCCTCATTTTTTTATAAGAGCAAGACCCTCTTTTTTGTTCAGGGCCCATAAAAATTTCAGGACCAACCTATGGCGTAAGGTATTTGGGCGCAATGGCGGACGTGCTTTGTTCAAGGGGGTTCAGGCGAACATCCAAAATTTTGAAAGTAAGATGTAAAAATACATGTATAGAATTGAAGTAATAACTTATGTAGTGTATTTTTTATACAATGTTTGTTACCCTTAACTTTTTTTCTGAAAAACATGATTTTTCAATATTTTAACCATTAATGTTTTTGAACACCCAATTTGGTTGCAAGATCCGCCACTGTTCGGGCGGCTACCTTTGCCGATCGTATTTCCTCCATCGTCTTGACTTCAGCTTGGAGTGGATTCTCCTGCCGAGAATGGACATAGCTTCAACCCCTCTCCAAGATCAGCCAAACCTCTCTCAAAAGAGAGTTGCGGTGGTCGGTGCTGGCATCAGCGGCCTTGCTGCAGCATACAAGTTGAAATTGCAGGGTTTGAATGTCACAGTATTCGAAGCTGATGGGAGAGCTGGAGGGAAGCTGAGAAGTGGTTCCCGAGATGGCCTAGTATGGGATGAAGGAGCCAATACCATGACTGAAACTGAAATGGAAGTCCAATTGTTACTGGATTCCCTTGGACTTAGAGAGAAGCAGCAATTTCCGATTTCACAGAACAAGCGATATATAGTCCGGAATGGAGCTCCCGTTTTGTTACCATTAAATCCTATTCAGGTGATAACTAGCAACTTCCTTTCTGCGGGCTCAAAGTTTCAAATACTCAAGGAGCCTTTTTTATGGATGAATAAGAAGCTCCCCAAAGAGTCTGATATGAATGAAAGCGTGGGTCAATTTTTTCAGCGTCATTTTGGGAAGGAAGTTGTTGATTATCTCGTTGATCCTTTTGTAGCTGGCACCACTGGCGGGGATCCTGATTCACTTTCAATGACTCATGCCTTTCCTGAACTGTGGGATCTGGAGAAAAGGTTTAGCTCAGTCATATTTGGGGCAATCCAATCTAAGATATTGTCCAAGAAGAAGAATCAGGGATCAATTGCTGCTTCAAAGAATAAGCGTAAGCATGGATCTTTTTCATTTTTAGGTGGAATGCAGACACTTACAGACGCACTGTGCAAAAAACTAGGCGAAGATGAACTTAAACTTTCATCAAAGGTTCTAGAATTATCTTCTTGCCACAAAGAAAACTGCCTAGATGGCTGGTTAGTTTCTTATGCCACACCTCACGTAATACACTCAGTGGATGAACCTTTTGATGCTGTTGTGATGACGGCCCCCCTGTCTGATGTCAAAACTATGAAGTTCACGAAGAAGGGTACTCCATTTTTGCTCAACTTTCTTCCTGAGATTGAATATGTTCCTCTATCTGTCATGATCACCGCATTCAAAAGAGAGAGCGTAAAACGGCCACTTGAGGGGTTTGGAGTTCTTGTACCATCTAAAGAAGAACAGAATGGTTTGAAGACACTAGGCACTATATTCTCTTCTATGATGTTTCCAGACCGAGCACCCAGCGATGTCCATCTTTACACTACATTTGTTGGGGGGAGTCGAAACAGAGAACTTGCAAAAGCTTCAAGGGATGAACTGAAGCAGATCGTAGCTTCTGACCTTAAACAGTTGTTAGGGGTGGAGGGAGAGCCAACGTTTGTAAACCATGTTTTTTGGAGTAAGGCATTTCCTCTATACGGCCGTAACTATGGTTCGGTCCTGAAAGCGATTGACAGGATGGAGGAGAACCTCCCTGGAATTTTCTATGCAGGTAATCATAAAGGAGGGCTATCTGTAGGCAAAGCAATATTATCCGGTTGCAGTGCAGCTGATCTTGTAATCTCATATTTGGAATCCTCTTCCAGTGGAGTCTCAGAAATGCCAATGACTGCTGATAAGTGACAAGGGTAGGCCGCTTGTTCATATTATCCTGGTTACTACTGCCAGTGTGTGTAGTATTCTATTTGGATTATGATTTTTATCAACCCCATATGCAGGAGGGTTAGGAGTAGGTTACTCATGAGCACAAATTGTACTTTTGTATTATGGTATTTATGTAATTTTCGTGTATATATATATACTCTGTGTATTTCTAAATCCGGATGACAAACCATCAAAATCAATGGGTAGATGCTTGGGAACATCTATCAGGATATTATTAAAGACGAATCAACGATAAATACAAGGAGAAGAGGGGGATATTTGAAAAACCTCTTCCAAGAAGGTAAACCTCTTTGTCCATAAAGAAAGTACATTATCGAGATCAAATTAAAAAATATACGGAATCTCTAATCTGTCCAATTCAATTGCATCCAAAATATGACTAGGCATTGAGCTAGAGTCATAGATCTGTAGGTGACCCTCATCCAAGTTATGTAGGTGGGCAATCAAGAAAACAACTTTATTGGAGCAAGAAGGAATAAGATGGCATTTCGTAATTCTGCAAGAGATTATATGGCTTTGCATGTACTGAACAAGTCAGGAAACCTCATCAGCAATGTATTCAGACGTGGTATCAATTTCAACGCTTAAATAACTGTTAGTTGCACACCATTTGATCACCTCCTGTGGGGCATATAAATGAACGTGTGTCCAGTCATTATGCCTTCATAATAGTTCAGTCTTATGGGAGGATAACTGAGAAGTACCTGCAGCTTGCATTTTGCCTTCATAGTAATGAAGGATAAACCCTGCAACATTCTTATATACAGCCAAATTAATTTTTTATGCGAGCGAAAGAAGTTTTTTTTTTCACTTGACAGTCATAGGTTGTCTTATGTTGAAAGAAGGGGGGGATAAGACCTTCACTTTTCAGCAAGGAATTTTTGTCACAACCTTTTTCTCTTGTGATAAGCACTATATAGCAACAAAGTGATGGAGCAATACTCTCCAGATGTGCCACAAGTTACCCCCGGGAGGCGGGAGAATCGCAATGTAGAGACCGTCTAGTGATTTATCATGTGATGCTGCCCACCACGGCACCACCTAATGCATGCATTTTAACCTTCTCAATCGGCTTCCAACTTCCAAGAAGCAATGAGGAGAAATGCTTCCAAATTTGAGAGGAAAAGGTGCATAAAGAGAATATATGTTCATTAGTAGCATTGCCCATCTCACAAAAAAGACATCTAGAAGGAAAAGCTGCCAGAAAGACACTTAGATTATCTGGCAAAGCCAAGCAACCAAACCAAAACTTCCATAGAAATAAGGAGATCTGCAAAGGCTTCTTCAGATGCCAAATGTGCTGATTTGATAGAGTACTCTCTGTGTGATTCTGAATGGACTGATAAGCCTGACTTAGTGGTGAAATTTCCATCACTAGCTAGCTGCCAAATCAACTGAAAAGCATTTCTTGCTACCCTTTTCTCAGCTAAATCATTACTTGCACACAATCTCTCCCAAAAATAAGACTATGAGTTTAGGATTATTAAGAGATTCCTGAAAGTATTTAGCTTTCATAAACCTAGCCCAAAGTGATTCCCCAAGTTTTAAGTCCACCAAAGCTTCATCGAAAAAGCAGCATAGGTGTCAGGAATAGATCTGATTCCCAGCCCACCCTGATCAGTAGGGAGATCGATCCTCTTAAAGGATCTCCAATGATGCTTACTCTTAACCAAGTGGTAGCCCTAAAAGAATGAAGCTATCTTTCTGTTTATAAGAGTTATTACACTCTAAGGAAGGGGAGTGGCAGCCAAGGAGCCAAGGAGGTATGGGGAGAAAGTTACCGCCTTGGGAGAGTAATTTCTGCCCCCATGTTGATAACTTAAAATCAATTTTAGAAAGTATTTTGTGTGATGTTCAATAGAGGTATATTCTTCATGAGAGCTTAATTATATAAGACCATGTTGTAATACTCCCTCCGTCCCGTTGGAATGTTCCCGTTCACTATTCATTGGTCAACTTAGGTCACTCCTAATTTTTTATTTTATATATCAAATTTTTATCAAATTGAACTTTTCTTGATCAGGCTTTGTAGCGGTTTTAATGTAGTTTCTGAATATGTAAATTTTATTTACTAAAAATAAGCGGAGTGTGAACAGGGATCAAGTTGCTTTATCGTCAGTCAAGCATCGTAAATCGAACGGGAACATTCCAACGGGGCGGAGGGAGTAGTAAATTCGGGTTACCTATTTCCTGGGTTATAAGGTGATTTTGGGAAAAAAATATGAATGTTAACAAAAAAAATTATCAATACCTAATAAGATTTTGAACTATTATTGCATCAACCCATCTTGGTGTCATATGAATGTTAACAAAAAATTATGAATTTTGATATATCTCTTGTAAAAGTTGAAGTAGAAATAAAAAAAGCTACAATACGTAAAAAAAAAAAAAGTTGAGATTTTACTATCTCTACCCACCTCTCTTCCCTTACCCACCTCCCTCCCCTTCTCATCGAATGTCCCATTCCAACTTTTTTTTTTCAATTTTATTATTTAATCCGAATCCCCCTTTTTCGTAATCTAATCCCAAGTCCCGTATTTTTTCATGTCACACTCAAAACTCCTTTATTTTCGTCATTTCCTCGATAACTGAAATATATGATTGATTGTTTTGAGAGTGCTCCAAGAGATTATTAGATACAAAATTTTAGAGTTGAAGTTTAGGATGTTTGGCATAGATCAAAATTGTAATAAAGTTTTAGTCATGACGGTTTCACTCTTATTCTTTTCACTTTTTTAATTGTTCCCATTCAAGGGTATAGTTTACGAAGCATATATATGTAAATCAACAATGTAAGATTTAGAATGTTGTTAAAGGTGTTTCAAGTTTTTAACAGCAATAACATGCCAAGGCTAAGGCTAGAGGGTTCAAAATTCCATTTTGTGCAAAATGCTAAAATGCGGCCGGTTAAAGCAAAATTTGGTCATGTCTATGGTCATTTGCATTGGTACTACTCCCTCACTTCCAATAAACAAGACCCTTGATTCAAACACTTTTTATTCAAAATAGTTTATGGTACAAGTTACAAAACAACTATTTGACTAATTACAGCAACGGGGAACTATTAAATAAGATGTTTTCCTAATAAAGCACAAGTTCTTTGTGTGATGTAAAAGTAGTCAAATGCAGAATGGAACCTTGAATTGGCGTTTGTGTATGGATTCATACATATACTTTGGTATTCATGATTAATTTACTTTTGAGTAACAAGTTTTCAAATCCAAATGTAATCCTTCGATCACTTCGCACAAAAAACAAGTTGATGTGAAGCTACACGTAAAAGAAAAATGAATGCATCCGTTAAATCTATTTGTAAGACACATCAATTGAAAATTTGTGTTTTGAACAGTGATGAGTAAAAAAAAAAAAATCAGTAATGACTCTAGCCTTGTCTAGAGTCATACATATCGGGACATTCATTTATGTCACTAGTGCATAACATTTTCGCTAGAAGCATTTAAAGTTCAAATTCTTTGGTGATCTGTATCTAAATAAAATATAAAATCTTATAAAGCCCAATGAAGGTTAGGGCTTTTTGGGTATTAAAAAAATGTTGGTGGTATTTGAAAGCAATAAATGGTTGTACAATATATTTCACTTAGTGTACTATATTATTATTGTCTGTGACTCCGTTAATATAACATCACCTGACATTCCTCACTTGCCGTCACCGTTCATGAGCCTACGTTAAAGGAGTATCACCTACTACGGAGTACTACGTATTACAATATCAATGTTATGAGCTTGCTCTTTCTTTATTATTAATTTATTGATTTCATTTAATTCTTCTCCATTCACTAATTAATCATCCTATCCCTCTATTCGGACTAAAAATTTGCATAATTTTCTTCTTCGCTTGTTGATCCTTTTTAAATGATATATGAAAATAACTTCTCATTGTCTTCTCGTCCCATTTTAATATTGTGTTGAATGCTATATTAATTGGAACTTATTTGGTAATACTGAAATTAGTTGAATCGATTGAATTTACTGAAATATGTGAAATTCTGTCTGAAGTAATCTGAACTGTAAAAATAGATAATAAAAAAACTACATGACAAATAGCTAAAATAATCTTTTTCACCAAATTCATCATAAAGTAACCTAAAATTTACTTATTTTGATTATTACTAGGGGTGGTTCGGTACGGTATACCTTATATTTTTTCTCATACCTTTGCCGTACCAAAACTTTCGGTATGCAAAATTTGCATACCTTTACCTTACCGAAGTTTCTGTATACCGCATTTCGAAGTTTCGGTTCGGTAACGGTACAGATCGGTAAATTACCGTGCATGTCTCCCAATACAAAAAATTATCATAGACTAACGAAATATACTAAATCGTTATTACTAGCGACATATTAAATCTATTATTAAAATGTTATGAAATACAATTAATAATCTATTGATGTCATTTCAATATTGAACAATAATTATTATTAGTATATTTAAGCAATTCAACATGCCACATATTAAAAAGTAACACATTCTCCTAAAATAACTTGAACAATATAGATATAATTAAATCAATAGTGAGCTCTAACAAAAATAAATAAAACTATTCAAACAACATGGATATAAAATCATTTATTCCTAATATGATATTGTGTATTTAGTTATTTTTATAATTTTTTAAAAATTGAATAAGACTTTCGGACAAAGTTGTGTGTCTCGACTCGCGGAATCCCTATGTAGATACACTTGTCACATAAGTGTATCTCTTTTCACTCGTCAGCTACTTAGCAGTCCAGCCATCACGACTTGCAAACTCTTAGAAGAAGATGAACTTGTTTCTTGACATTTGTACATTAGTCATTATGGTTAGCATAGTAGACGCCTATAAGGTTATAGTGGATTTGAGAAATTGGGCCTTTATTTTTGTATTTTTGTATTTGTAACCAACTTAAGTATTAATTTTGGGCTTCAAAATTGTAATGGATTTTTACAATATATTAGAATTAAAAGTAATTATTGAGTAGGGAGTCGGCACGGTATTATACCGGTATACCGCGATATTTGAAAACATTTACCGTTACCGTACCGAAATAGATCGGTACGGTATGATACCGTACCGAAAATGACGGTATACCAATATTTCGGTATTTTTCGGTATTTTTCGGTATGGTAAGCGCGGTATACCGATTTTTCGGTATTTTTGCTCACCCCTAATTATTACACAATTCAGTGTGCAA